CGGCCCGGCACCGGTCCGCGGACCGGGGGTTGGGGACCACTGGACTAGAAGACCTCCAAGGTCTCTTCCAATTCTGTTATTCTGTATCAAGCAAGCTTGAATACACACATGCACAGAATTATGCTTGTATATTCAGAATAAAATATTGAAGCATCTAGAAATATCTCTATATCTCATCACACATTATAAAAACTGAAAAGCATATATATCCAATAATACCACAATGTAAAATGTAAGAGTACTTCTTGTTATGTACCATTTATCGCTTACATAAATATTAAATGTTCTGGTAATCACGTTTTTCTTATCAGCTCCTTATTTCACAATCACATGTATGCTTCTGCTATTCTCTTTATGTGTCAGCAATTCAAGGAAATTAAATCCACAAGTTTAGAGACTGGAACTATGTTTAATGATACAAGCTATGGTGAAGGAATCTTGAAAGCCTGGCTATGCTTTTCTTCCTGCCCTCTTATATCCCAGGGAAGCCATTTTAGCTTCTTCCCGATGTTTTCTTTGTTTCCTGAGCTTAAAAAATGTTTTTGTATATGTTGTTGTAACCCTTTCTGCATAATTTTTCTGAGGTAATCTCTAAGACTATATTATGGAGTAGATTTTTGTCACACATACAAAAGCATCAGCTATGTTTTCTAATGGGTCACATGTATTCCATATAGATCTGGCCTGTGAATGTGCACAATTGTTGTCCATGTGGATCAGCTATTTCCACTTGGTCCATGTTTGAACTGAAGCATACTTGTTTGATTTCAGGGATGGAGAAAAACTTGCATGTTCCACTGAGTTTTTTCAGAGAGGAAGAAGCAGAGAAAAAAAAAATCCAAGTACATTGAAGTAGTGGGGAGTAACTAGAGACAGGAAAGGAAAATGCTGGGGAGATTAGAGAACAAACTGGCAGAAAAGCATGCAGAGAAGAATGGGAAACAAGTAAGAAGCACACCAGCCTTGATGACTCTAGATTTTGGGGAAAAGCTAGAATAATCAAACATACTAAAATTTGGTTTTGCTGAATTGTATCCCACCTGCATGGTAGAATTTCTAGAATACAATGATTATATATTTCAGTTTGAAAATATATATATTTCATTTTATGCACAGGACTAATTTAGATGTCCTTCCTTCTTCCCTTCCTCCCACCCTCTGAGTTTTCTCAAGGAGCCCAGAGCATTGACTATATCACTCTTACTTCCAACTTTTCTCACAATGGCCCTGTAGGAAAGGTTGGGCTGACAAAACATGATTTTCTCAAAGACATCCCTTGAGTTTCAGTGGGTGAAGGTAATTTTAACCTGGGATTCCCCAGCCTAAATTCAGCATTGTAAGAACTAAAATTGGGTCTCTTTTTTTTTTTTTGCCTTACAAATCCTGCCACCACCCAAACTTAGCATCTCAAAAATTGGTTCATTCATTTCCTGTTGAACTTAACACATTTCTTTTAAGTAAAAGCAATCATCCAGCTTCAGGAAAAAAAACAAAATCAATAAAGGATGAACTCACTATCACCATGATTCCCTAAAATCCTTTGAGATATGTCTATATAACTCTGAAGTATATAAAACAGTTTCTTATATATCTATAAAATATCATGTGGCACTGTTCCCATACTAAACATTTACTATGGAATTGCTGTTCAAAGTTGTCGTGTCCAATGTTTTTTTTTCACTCTAAGGTATCAACAGAAGTGTTCTGAAGTTAATGTTTCCCATTCCATAGAAGCGTGATGGCAAACATATGGCACGCATGCCACAGGTGGCACACAGAGCCCTCTCTGTGTCACCCTAGCCCAGCTCCACCATATGTCAACCTCTGTTTTGCTGCTTGCTTTTCGGCTGCCATTGAAACAGGGAGGGAGGACATGGTATTTGGGAGTGGAAATAATCTGTACTGGAGGACTGTTGATTGGGAATTGTTCTCACCATCTATTGCGCATTTGGCAAGGAAGGGAGTTTCCCGCCAAAGCCAACTGTCTGGCATACCAACCTGATGATGATTTTTGAAGATGTGTCCCAGCTGACAGCTGTGGAGATATTGGATTGGGCTATGGACTGGGGTTACCAAGGGAAGGGGAATGGGTCATGTATTGATATCAACTCCTTCACGCGCTTTTGCTCAGATCCAGCTTTGCTTAGCTTCTATTTATTTATAGTCAGTAAAAGTACTCTTATTTCTGCAAAATGGAGTTGAGTGGTTTCTTTCTTGGTTATTAAGTGAAGCAGCCTTGACACCATGCATGTGTGCACATTTCTCCAGCCAGTTGGTCTTTGGGTCTCTGCCGTGCATGCATGAGGTTGGGGTGCATGTGGGGGATGCTCGCATTGCATTTGGGGGGCTCACACAGCGTCCCCGTGCCCCATTTTCACTTCCATGGTGGTGTAGGAGGCCTTCTAGGCCCAAATCAGGGCAAGAGCGGCTCCCCGTGTTCCCTGTTTTGAGCCTAGAAGGCCTCCTGCACCAATCTGGAAGCAAAATGGAGCACTGTGGTGCCACATGAGGCCCCCCAAGCCTCATTTTGGGCCTGGAAAGTCTCCTGCACCAATCTGGAAACCAAAAATGGGTAAAGGGGGGTTGTGCATGCATGCACAGGAGTCGGGCATGCATGCACGGGGGAGAGGCATGCGGGGGGGTCACATCTGCATTGCATTATGGTGTGGTCGCGTACGCTTGCTATTGCATGGGCGCACGGGTGCTCTCGGCACACAGCAATAAAAAGGTTAGCCATCACTACCATAGAATATAGAACAGTTTTTAATGGCTTTGCTGTTCCTCAAGATGCAAGAGAAAAATAATGAAATATCCTATGATATATTAATTTAAAATATTTAACATTACGGAATTGTTTTTATATATAATACTGCAGTGAGACTATTATATGCTCAAAAATAGAAAGGCTTGACGGAACTTGCAGAGATGGCTAAATTAAACTCTTTGATTGAGAAAAAAAATCTTCATTTATGTTCAAATAGAAAATCTTTTATAGACCTTTTGTGTGAAGCAAAAAGATGGTTGTGATGATTAGAAAAAAGTTAGATAATAAAGAAAAGTGAGGTGAGTTTTTTTTCTGTAATCATAGAAAAAGAGAGAACTTTGTTAATGTACTGACTTTTTCTGCAAAGGAAATAGCTTGTTCTTTTTTTTTCTTTATGATTCTTTCTAGACATTTGCTTATATTTGTTTCCTTTATTGCTTCTGCTCTCTTACTTTTTGTTTGTTTTTATGTGTTTTGTAAAACATAAGATATATACACATATAAAGAAGTGAATCCTTTGCTATGCAAATAGCTGAGCTTTCTTATTGCTGTTTGGAGGTAACCTTGCCAATAATTTTTTTTTTTTGTGCCAATGTTGGCTGTTTTGCTACTAACTAAAATGGAAAAGAAAAATATATACAGCAATTTTGATCAGACAAATTGATCCAATCCTTGTTTTCAAGTTCTCAGAAATGAATTTTTAACTCAGCTCTG